CCTCTGGCACCCCGGCCCAGGCTTCCCTTGCAGCCCTGGCTTTGTCCGAAGGACGTCTGGTCTAATTAGCATACTATGCTTTTATTATTATAGATATTACAATTTGATTATCCATCTTCATTGAGGGACATGTGGGTAGTTTTCAGTCCGGAGCTATTAGAATAAAGCTGTTGTGATCGTACATTTTCATTTCTTCTAGGTAAAAAACTAGAAGCAGTATTGCTAGGTTGCAGGGTAGATGTGTGTTTAACTTTATGAAAAACCTGCTGTTAGGCTAACTTCCCATACAGCACTTCCAGGTGCTATGCATCTTTGCCAACATTTGGTGCTGTCAGTCTTTTACTTATAGTAGCTTCTCATAATGGTTTTAATTAGCATTTCCAGGAGCTTTTAATTTTGGTGAGGTCCGATTCAGCATAGTATACTTTTATGGTTATTGCTTTCTGGATCCTATCTAAGAAACTTGTCTACTCCTAGAAGCTTCTATAATTTTTGTAGTTTTAGCCTTTCCATTTAGGTCTATATTCAAGCTTTAATTTTTGGTGTATAGTGTAAGGTAGGCCTTTGAGATCCATTTTCTTGCCCATTAGCTATTCAGTTATTCCAGACCCACATATTGAAAAGATTTTCCTTTCCCTATTGGATATTTTTGAATTGATAGACTTGATTTTTTACAGCAGCTTTAGAGGTACAGAAAAAAGGGAACAAACACACTATTTCTGTTATTGACATTGTGTGTTAGTGTGGTACATTTTGTTAGAGCTGTTGAACCAATAATGCACCTTACATTAGAGTTCATTCTTTGTGTTGTATATTCTATGGGTTTTGACAAATGTATAATGACATGCATTCACCCTTAGAGTGTCCTATAGAATAATTGGTCACTGCCCTAAAAATCCTCTGTGCTTCACCTAATCATCCATACTCCCTCCCTTTGGAACCCTGGGCTACTGATCTTTTTACTATCTCCATAGTTTCTCCTTTGTCAGGATGTCATATAGTTGGAATCATACAATATGTAGCCTTTTCAGATTGTCTTCTTTCACCTACCATTTATGCAGTTAAGATTTCTCCATATTTTCTCATGGCTTGTTGGCTCATTTCATTTTATTTCTGAATATTACTCCATTTTACAGATGTACCATATTTTCCCAGACCTTGCGGAAGGTACCATTGTGGACACCTGCCTCCTGATAATGACTGAAAAGGAAGTTTTATTCTATCATATGTATAAGGAGTTGCTGACATTATACATGTTAATATTATTTAAAAATCTATAATTAAAAAATACGAATTTTTAAACTATTTTGAGTTTTTATTCATATACCTTACCTATATTGATTCCTAGAGGAAGAATAGAAAACTACGTTTTTTGGAAATTTTTATTTCAAGCTTAAAATTCTATAGTAACATCCTTTTATCTTAGTTTTTAAGCTTCTAGTGTTTTTGTAATTTAGTCCAAACAACTGTTCAAGATTTACATATAAAGGGTAAGCTGTCTTCTAATAGGACTGCTTACTAGTACATCATGCACAATTTAGCCATTAAAGAATGCTCTTCAAGCTTTGAAGTTCAGACTGTTTATAGAAATACAGTGGATCCTAGTGATAAAAAGCATATGCTTCCTGCCTTGCGGTCTTTTTACATGTAGGTCATATCAAAGAGTAGTTTCTGCTTGGTTCAGTGTGGTTGCAGAGTGCTCCACTCCCCTTGGAATCTTAGATGGGAGCTAAGGTGGGTTTGTCAGGGGGCAAAGGGGAGGGTAATTGTTTATCCAGTTAGGCAGTTGCTATTCAGTTACTTATTTAACCAAGTTTGAGCTTTCTACAGTGTTCTAAAGCAATGCTTTAATATAACATGTAAATTTTGAGATAAATATTTTCCATACCAAATTATACTATTTTGATGTTTTCACTTTGAAGATCAGTTTGAAGCTTATAAAGTTTGATTTATCTGTTAACTCTTTGGGTCCCTTCTTGATGTTCTTTTTTCTTTTTTCTTCTTAGGGTATAGTTAATAAAGTGTCTTCCAGCCACATTGGCTGTTTAGTACATGGGTGTTTCAATGCCTCCATCCCTAAACCTGAGCAGATGCCAACTGAGCAGTGGCAGACCCTGGAGATAAATGTGGGCGATGAACTAGAATTTGAAGTATTTCGTTTAGACTCAGACGCTGCTGGAGTATTCTGCATTCGGGGAAAACTAAATATCACCAGGTCAGTTCCTACTCACATTATTGTCATTTTGATATTGAAATGTTTCTATTTAATTCTGAATTTAGAGACCATACGTCCTCTTTAAAAATGTTTATTATAATATTTATGCTTTCAAACCAGAAAGTCATTGTAAATCATTATCTTAAGTGCTAAGACAATGCATTAAATATTCTAAAGCTCTACATCTAGCTAAATGGTCTGTATTTTAATAACTCAATTTTACTGTATAGTTTCTAGTTGTTAATTTTTAAAATAGTTGATACCTGAGCTTGAAACTAACAATTTAATCATATTGTATAACTATTAGCCTGCTTTCATTTGTACATGGTTGAAACAAAAATAATTTGATTGTCATTATGCCAGGTAGACCATTTAATTTCTATTGAAATTCTTATAAGAATTACTTTGATCTTGAATCTTGAGCTTGGCTCTATAGGAGCTCACTTTGGGAGCGGGGAAACTTTTGGAATACTGCTAATATTAATTTAACAATTTTCTAGATTCTGCTTTGATAAGGAACCAGAGTGTGGATTCAAGTTCTAGAGCAGCTGTCCCATAGAACTTCTGTGATTATGATAGAGATGTGCTGTATTTGTGCAATTCAGTAGCCTCACGATTGAGCACTGGAAAAATGACTAGTGTGACTGAGGAGCTAAATTTAAAAGTTATAACTATTTAAATTTAAGTAATTTCAGTGAGATATGTGGCTAGTGCTCTCTCTAGTTCTAGAAAGAAGGCGGCTTCATTGAGCCTTGTTTTTATCTTAGTGATATAAAATAATTCACAACTGTGAAATGTGCTTCAGCAGAGGTTAGGAAGAACAATGAAATTATCTGAAGCAAGGATTGAGAAAGTAGACAGGAAACTCCATTATTTTGATAGGTAACAGAAGTATGTTTTCTCTCTATTTTATGTTAATTTGGCTAATAAGCCTGGATATTGTGATGTTTAGTATTTAGGGACCAGCTTTTTGTGAACAAAACCAGAATTTAGGAGCCATGTTTTGACAACCTTTTCATGTCGTTCACATGTGTGAAAGCAGTCTGGGAGAAGTTCTTGGGAAACAGTAATTTTAACATTTCAAAGGGCTGAAGGATGATAGGAAAGACCGTTTGAAATTTACACTGTAGGATGCAGCCTACGCTGTCGCTTAGGAAAATGATAGCAGGTTGGGATACTCTTGATCTCTTTGTTCTTCTGTTTTTGCTTGTTGCTCTTCAAACTTTTAAACTGTTCATTTCTAGTTCAGAAACCGAGTGCCCTGCAAATTCCGAAGAAGTAACAGAAACTGGGACTGAAGAAGCTGTTGAAAAACTTCCAAAGAAGAAGAAAAAGAAAAAGAAAGAGCCAGATGAAGTTGAGGGTGGTGCCACAGAGCTAGCAGATCTCCCAGATGTCACCGGGAGGGAAGAGACGGACCTACAGGTAGATAATAATGTGAATGGGCTCTGGGAGGAAGAGCCAAAGAAGAAGAAGAAGAAGAAAAAGAAGAAAGACCCAGAGCCAGATGAAGTAGAAGGTGGTACCACTGAGCTAGCTATTGTCCCAGAAGTCGCCATGCAGGAAGAGACAGACTTGCAGGTGGATAACACCATGAATGTGAATGGCCTCTGGGAGGAAGAACCAAAGAAGAAGAAAAAGAAAAAGAAGAAAGACCCAGAGCCAGATGAAGTAGAGGGCGGTATCACCGAGCTAGCAGATGTCCCAGCTGTCGCCTTGAGGGAAGAGACAGACCTGCAGATTGATAATGTGAACAGTGGCCTCTGGGAGGAAGAGCCAAAGAAGAAGCACCAGGAAGATCAGAACCAGGACCCTGTTTTTCTGGGCAGTGACTCCAGTGGTTACCAAAGTGACCATAAAAAGAAGAAAAAGAAAAGAAAGCACAGTGAGGAGGCTGACTTGGCCCCACTTTTGGAACACTCTCCTAAAAAGAAAAGGAAAAGATGATTTTCTTTAGTACATTGTAAATACGATTGTTTTAAAAGATCGATTTATACACAGTAGATGAAATGTTTGAATAATATGAAATAATTCTCAAAACAGGAAACTATTAAACTGCCATTTTATTGTATACAGAGTGAAAGGTAAGATCTCTCAGTCTTAACTTTGGCATTTTTCCAGTTTTTACATTCTAAATAAAATTATTTCTATAAACTCAATACCAGCAAAAGGACTTTATAATACAGTGTTATATCATTAAAGAGTCAATTTGAGCTTGGATTTTTGGTTTATTGCTTTTTAAGAAAATTTATATTATTGAAAGTATTACAGATGTCTCCCTTCCCCCCCCCCATTAACTCCCTTAACCCCGCACATGTCCCCATGTCCCCTCTCCCCCTCCCCCCCCCCCCCATCCCCATCCCCAGGCCTACTGCACTATTGTCTGTGTCCATGGGTTGTGCATATAAGCTCTTTGGTTAATCTCTTTTGCCCGCCCCTCCCCCCCCTTCCCCTCTGAGATTTCTCAGTATGTTCCATGCTTCTATGTCTCTGGATCTATTTTTTCAGTTTATTTTATTCATTATATTTCACATATAAGTGATATAATGTGATACTTGTCTTTCTCCAACTGGTTTATTTCACTTAGCATAATACTTTCAGGTCCCCCCAGGCTGTCTGAAAGGGTAAGAGATCCTTCTTTTTTATTGCTGTATACTATTCCATTGTGTAAATGTACCACATCTTTTTTTATCCATTCATCTACTGACGGGCACTTGAGCTGTTTCCAGATCTTAGCTATTATACATTGTGCTGCTATAAACATAGGGGTGCATATATTCTTTCTGGTTGGTATTTTGGGATTCTTAACGATGTATTTCTAGAAGTGGGATCACTGGGTCAAATACTGCTCTTTTTTTAAAAATGGATTTTACCTTTATCATGAAATCACCAGCTTTTTAAAAAATTCAAGGCATTTGCCAGTTTCAGATTTCCCTTTATCATGGCCAGTACAGTATTTCTGTTGTTTAACTTGGAGTGGTTTGCCACAGGAGCTCCTGCAATCTCCAGCACTCCTAGGAGAGCCATGTCAGTACTGACTAGTTAACAGGGGTGGGCAAACTTTTTGACTCGAGGGCCACAATGGGTTCTTAAACTGGACCGGAGGGCCGGAACAAAAGCATGGATGGAGTGTTTGTGTGCACTAATACAAATTCAAAGTAAACATCATTACATAAAAGGGTACGGTCTTTTTTTTTTAGTTTTATTCATTTCAAACGGGCAGATCCGGCCCCGCGGGCCGTAGTTTGCCCACAGCTGGACTAGTAGAAACAGTATTCACTATTCTTTCCTTCCAGGTGCATGTGTGGTGTCATTTTCTTTATATCTAAGTCTCAGAGGTTAGTGGAGAGTTGTTCACTGGTACCTACTCATTTGTGCCTCAACCATTCTGTTTTTGTTGTGTGTTGAGAAGTAGAATTGGATGAAGACAGGAAAAACGTGATTCTGTTTAGTGGGGAATTCCCAATTACGTTTTAATAATTGGGTTAGACTGCTAGAAATTGTTCTGAAGAGCAAACAGCTGTTCATTGCTTTCACTGAGAACATGCCAAGCATTAACATGTCCAAGACCTTAACTATTGGATAACTGAGTGATGAAATGATCAGCCGGTTCAGGTTGATAACCAATACATGGCAGTCTTCACTCACTTAACAGGTACTGGACCATCTACTGTGTGCAACACATTCTACTAAGGTCCAGGAATATAATGGCAAGCAAGGCAGATGCAGCTCCTTCCCTCATAGAATATCAGGAGAAACAGATGCCCATACAATAAAAGTAAGATCACATACAGAAAATTAGTAACTGGTAAGTGCTACAAAGAAAAATAATTTTCCTCTCACTGTTGGTTGTGTTAGCATGCGTACATGGGTGAATGGGTTGAACTCCAAATGGCAGCCATTTTTGTTGCCATTTATGTAGTATTAGAAATAGTACTGGTCTCACATTGTTTAATTTCCGTTATTGTATAAATTCTGCTCATAGTATTTCTTGATCCAAATCTGTAATGATAGAATACAGAGTTTGCAATGTTTGTCTACAGGTAGATGTGCCAGACAGTGGCAAGGTGTGCGAGCCAGTGTCTTCCCATACAGTTTAGTTTCACATGAGTGTGGAGGCCTTAAAATGTGGGTAGTCCAAATTGAGATGTGGTGTCAGTAGAAGATGCATACCAGGTTTTGAAGATGTACAAAGAAAGAATATAAAATATCTCAATTTAGTATGTTGGTGAAATTATAATACTTTTGGTGGTTAAATAAAATGTTAAAATTCAGCCTTTTCAGGTTTTTTTTGGTTTTTTTTTTTATTTTGCTAAAAGATCTAAAACTGAAAATTACATATGAGACTCACATTATCTTTGTTTTAAACAACACTGGTTTAAAGGAAGGATGAGTTGAAAAAGGGTTAAAACAAGCTATATTCTCAGGGTTTAATATAGTGGCATGCCCTGAAAATGTTTTATAAATGCTTCCTTAAAATTTTTTGAATACATAATTGAAATCATGTCTGACTTAATGTAGAAAATTAAATTTTGTGAAACAATTTCCCCTTTATACCAAGGAAGCTTCAAATTGTTGTTATTCATGGAAAAATAAATTGTGGCTTAGCAAAATAAGCAAATTTCCACATGATGTTTGTATATTTTCAGTTGGTGCTTTTCTCATTCATGTTCTGTACAATTAAAAATAATTGGTATTTTTGTTCTTTGGCTAATCCTTTCACCTTCTTTCATCCAATCCCCTTCCTCCCACCTCCCCTCTGACAGTTGTCAGTCTGTTCCATGCCTCTGGACCTGTTTTGTTAGATTCCACATGTAAGTGAGATCATATGGTATTTGCTTTCCTCTGACTGGCTCATTTCACGTAGCTTAATAATCTCCAAGCCCATCCAGGCTGCCACAAAAGGTAAGAGTTCCTTCTTTTTTATGGCTGTGTAGTATTCCATTATGTAAATGTACCACAACGTTTGTATCCACTCATCTACTGATGGGCACTTGGGCTATTTCTAGATCTTGGCTATTGTAAATATTGCTGCTATGAACATAGGGGTGCATATATTCTTTCAAATTGGTGTTTCAGGATTCTTAGAATACATTCCCAGAAGTGGGATTGCTGGGTCAAAAGGCAGTTCCATTTTTAATGTTTTGAGGATACTTCATACTGCTTTCCATGGTGGCTACACCAGTCTGCATTCCCATTAACAGTGCGTGCACTAGGGTCCATTTAAATTGATAAAATGAAAAGCACAGTTTCAAATGGCATTACCTTGCCTCTGATGTGATATTTTTAACGTTTTCACATTATTTCAATTAATTCATTAAGTGCTTTGCCTATATCTGATGTGGTTTTCCACTATTTTTTATCCCATCAGTGTGTCAGTGATAACTTAGATGGAAAACTTCCAAATGGTCAAAATTGAGCCTCTCACTTGCTTTACGCATTCCACTAGGATCATCCTTGGACATTTTTCATCCACAAAGAAGACACACTGTGTTATAAAATTAGTATGTATCCACCTTTATGAAAGTTCCAAATGCAAAAGTAGCTCCCCATTCTTCTAGTTATGATCTCCACAACCCCCCACCCCAACATACCCATGTAACAATCTATATCCCAGAAATAACTACTGTTGTCAGTTTCACATACAGTTTTAGATTTTGTTTTTAGACTTTAAAATATTTAAAAATATAAATGCACTCAAATATTCATAGAATTTGAACCTACTGTTTTCATTTGATATATGAATGTATAAAGGTATTCTTATTTTTAATGTTGGCAGAATTTCCATATGTAATTTTTCATTTCCTAATGGTGAACATTTAGGTTTCTATTTTCTCTCTTAAACACACACATTGAGCATACGTGTATATCCATCCTTATTTGATAAAAAGCCCAGAACTGAAATTATATTAAAGGAATAAATTTCAGTTTTTGATATAGATCGTCAGATTGTCCTCCAAGACATTGTACCAGTTTGCAATCCTATGAACAGTGTGTGGTTGGCAGCCATGCCAACACGGAGATTACCGGTCATTGTAAATCTTGACAGTCTGATAGGTGAAAATATTATGCTGTGTAATTGATACTGATTTGGTTTTTAGTGAGCTTGAACCACTTATTGTCTATGCATTTGTTCCTTTGATTTTTGTGTGGTGTTTTTCCATTTGTAACTTTTTCAAGAGCTCTCTCCATAATTGGGATGATGTTTTTTTTCTGCATATGTTCAATTTTTGTAATTTGTCATTTGTTTTAGCATTATCATTTGCTGTTCAGATATTTATTTAATCAATGATCTCTTTTGAGTTTTATTTCATTGTTTTTCTTATAAAGGCATTGACATCCCAAGATTATAACTCATATTTTCTTTAAAAAAAACCCACACCGTTTTTATTGATTTCACAGAGGGAAAGGAGGAGATAGAAACATCAGTGATAAGAGAGAATCATCTGTCTTGGCTGCCTCCTGCATGCCCCCTATTGGGGATCAAGCCTGCAACTCAGGTACCTGCCCTGACCGAAAGTTGAACCATTTGTTCATGGGTTGATGCTCAACCACTGAACCACACTGGCTGGGCAGATACTTTTTATGTTTATACGTTTAAAAATTTTAGTCCATCTGGATTGGTATGTAGTTTGATGCAGGAATTTACTTTTTCCCCAAACTAATGTTCACATTTCCAAACTGTTAATTTAACCCATATTTTCTCTACAGATTTGAAGACTTACTTATGTATTCTTTTATAAGACCGTACTATTTATTATTCTAATATGGTAGGCAGAATTCTTACGTGGCCCCTGATATGTCCCACCCTTATTCTCATAACTGTAGATGCTGAATTTTATTTATTATATATACTTATATTCTTTATAATATAATTATAATAATATAATTACAATGATTACAATTACATGGCACAGTTGATTTTAAGAAAGAGAAATTATCTGGGTGGCCCTAACCTTAACCACATCAACCCTTTTATTTTTTTAATGATATATTTGGCAATTTAAAAAATTTTATTTTAATTACAGTTGACATTATTTTATTAGTTTCAGGTATATACCATAATGGTTAAGTCAATTACATTATTTACAAAGTGATTCTCCTCCCCCACCTCACCCCTGATAATTCAAGTACCCATCTGGTACGATGCATTGTTATGAAAACAATTAACACTCTAATTCTTCTTGTACCCTCTTACCCTCTAAGACCGATTATTGCAGAGTATATAGGACAGTCATGGAACGTGTATCCTTCAGTCCAGGCGATGCACTGGACAGAATCCCTGTTCTGTTCCCTTTTGAGTGCAGGCCAGTGGTCTGAGTAATTCACCTGTAGAGAGAAGAGAAGAGTACTTCTTAATTCTAATATGGTTTGAAGGGGAGCTTTACCTTCTCTAGAGTTAGTTTATGCCAATAACATTTTTGTTTTGCTTTGTTTTTCAAAGCTACATTGTCTTGACCCATCGCATTGACGTTTTGTATCTGTCTGTTGGAGCACATCAGAATTTCAGTTTATTGAGTCATCTTCCCATAATCCCATGTTATAATTTAGAATTATTTTTTTCCAAGCAAAGGAAACCATAAGTGGGAATAAGAGTTGGTTGTAAAAATTCAGGGCTGCCATAGGGATTCCAGGACAAGAATGCAGCTGGACCTCAAGAAATATTAGAAGGTACTGGGAAGGGCTGAGTTTTTCTTGAGCACTCATAGGCTTTCCCTGCAGACATGCAGTCCCAACCATTTGGAGAGTGTTAGTCCCACTGGCCAATTTTCAGCAGAAAGAATCTGGCCCAGTTTAGGGATGTTGTGCATTCCTGGTAGCACCAAGATAAGCCTGGCACTCAGACTTATGATAACTTGTAAGGACTTGTTAAAATAAGTTTCCCCCCAAAAGGAATCATTGTTTTCTGGCAGATACTCCAAAAGGTGATTTCTACATTTTGGTACTCAATAAATGTAGTATTTTCATATTAAATAATTTTTGAAATGGTGACACTTTTTGTTTTTTTTCTTTCTATGTAGAGTTTTGACTGAGTTGCACCTTCTATTATTCAGTGAAAAAGTAATGAGATGGAAGTAGCAACATTTTAGTCATGGAGAATCATCTTAATTATACATTATTAACATCTGAATCTACCAGCAAATTGCAACCTCAGGCTATTGCTAAATGAATCATCCTAGTTGGGAACATACAGCCTTGAGAAGATGTATGTTCTGTTTTTATAACCCAGAGGTAATATGCCTGTGTCATCACAAAGGGGTCATAAGTGGTGGGAGGATTAGGCGAGGCATTTATAAATTTAGTAAGCTATAGTTCTGGAAGTTTGTATTTTTTTTTTTCTGTGAAATACCTAGGCTCATTCATTTCCTCCTTTCAAAAATCATAAATTAAAATAAATGGGAAAGAAGCCATTTGTTTTTTAGGTCACTCATTAGTTTTAACCAGGCCTGGGGCAGCATAGTTTATTCCAGTCTTGCCATTCATTGTTTGATTCCACATTCATTGCCCTGGAGGCTGTGGCTTGTGGTGCTGGCATGCTGTTTATTGCTCCGTGCAAGAAAAACAAATGAAAACAGAAAGAGGAATGCCAAAGTGCCTTTGTGGGTGTAGTCAGCAGATTAAAGGAAAGCCAAGAGCAGCCTTGTTTTCATCCAGCCTAGCGTTAGAGATTCTGTATATTTTCCCAATCCACATGTGACAGGGAGGGAACAGCCTGGATTTGGGTTCCTTTGTTAACTGTCTCTGCATTTGAGTTTTATTTATTTCAAAATATGGAAAACCTGTTCTGCCAACACATTTAAAAATAAATGGTGAAAACTTCCTTGGTCTCTAAAATGTCCAAAATGAACACTTTGGACCAGACGGGACTAAAGCTCAAAAAAAAAAAGAAAAAAAAGTCTAAGGCCAGCTTTGTTTTTGGACATCTTTTTTTTTTTTTATGTCTTAAAAGTAATTATGTAGTGAAACAAGTTTCTAAAATGTATTTTCTATGCATATTTCTCTATTCTGTCAGCTCTAAGAACATCACTTATGATTTAAAGAGGAAAGAGAAGATTGGAGTAATAAGTAATACTCCTCCACCTACATTTAAAGGACTTTGAATTTTTTCCAAATAGAGTTTATAGACCGAAACAACTCAGATCGTAAAAGTGACAGCTCTAATTTCAAGTAGAGATCAGGATGGTTCCAGAAATCATAGCTGGGGAGTTTCTATCAATTTGTCTTGGAAACATATATAATACCAATAAAATTGAAAAGCTTTGCATTTAATGTTTTACATGGATTTTTTAAAACTAAAATTGCATTTTAAAAAATCCTCTGAGGAAATTATTTTTATTGATTTGAGAGAGAAACATCATTCAGTTGCCTCCTGTTTGGACCCGACTGGGTATTAAACCCACAATCTAGGTATGTGCTCTGATTTGGAATGGCACCTGCAACGTTTTGGTGCATGGGACGATGCTCCAACAAACTGAGCCACCCGGCCAGGGCTAACATTGCATTTTTTGTCAATTTTGGTTTCAGACTACATAACCTACTTGATATCACATGTTGGCGTACCACAAGGCCTACAGTTATTTTGTGAGGCAGAATGTGAATATACCTGCCGGGGGGGGGGGGGGGCAAACTACGGCCCGTTTGAAATGAATAAAACTAAAAAAAAAAAAGAACGTACCCTTTTATGTAATGATATTTACTTTGAATTTATATTAGTTCACACAAACATTCCATCCATGCTTTTGTTCCTGCCCTCCGGTCCAGTTTAAGAACCCATTGTGGCCCTCGATTCAAAAAGTTTGCCCACCCTTGGAATATACCCACACCTTAAAAAGGTCAGTTGCTTTGTTACATTTAGACAGTTGCTGGTTTTTCCTCTAAGCCCGTGGTTGGCAAACTGCGACTTGCGAGCCACATGCGGCTCTTTGGCCCCTTGAGTGTGATTCTTCTACAAAATACCACGTGCGGGCGCGCACATACAGTGCGATTGAAACTTCATGGCCCACGCGCAGAAGTTGGTATTTTGTGGAAGAGCCACACTCAAGGGGCCAAAGAGCCGCATGTGGCTCGCGAGCCGCAGTTTGCCAAGCACTGGGCTAAGCCATTCATTCCTGCAACCAATACTTGGTGAATGCCTATTATGTGCCAGACTTAGATGTTAGGTACTAGAATTATGTCAGAAAACAAGAGACAAAACTGCCTATTTAGTGGAGGACACAGACAAAAATTTAAGTACATGGTAATATGTCAGATGATAAATGTTACGAGACAAAAATAAGGCAAAAGACGTTAGTGTGGGGAGGTTTACCGTTTTTAATAGGATAGTAAATTAAGGCGATCGATTCTAGAGGTAGAGAATTTTAGAGTTCAGTGGAGGCCTAAAGATGGGAGAAGTGTGGGTTTCAGATTTCTGAAGTATTTCCTGATCAAGGATAACTGTGTGGCTAAACTAGAGTGAGCAAGGTAGAAAAATGAGACATGATGAGTTCAAATAAAGTTACATCTTCTTGATCTTTGACATGATTTAACCTTGACCAATAATCTAAAGAAACTACTTTGAAGGAATTAATGGTGTTGCCCAATAATTGTTTTAGTATTAGTTATATCAAGGATAAGTAAAGACCTGTCATCGGGGAAAAAAAAGAATTAAAATGTTATGTGTCACATGAAATATGTTTTACCTGTTTGGGTTTCAAATTACAAATTTACATATATGTATATATTCATTCATGGTTTTCAACCTGTATGTAATAATTAGATCAATTATATTACTCCTGTTTAACAGATGATGTGATAGGTTTCAGATGTTATTTTATCTTCCAGTAAGCTTAAGTTATTGATTCAGGTATGCTTTTTTTATATGCTTAGATACAGTAGATCCTCAGGTTATGTCGGAGATCCGTTCCTACGGTGCGACATAACGCGATTTTCGCCTTAAGTCGGAACCCACCTACATAAGCACATACACAGCAGTAATGAGGTGAAACAGTAAAAATCATTTAAAAGAAGGATAACAATTCCTGATCTTTATTTGTGGTAAATAAATAATAAAAAACATAAAGCACATATGTACATACGTCAAAATTATGGAACTTTTTTTACTAAATGGAGATGGCGACGTAGCCTGAGGACTGCATGTATATATAATACTTAAAAGTCTATAAAAATAACTATTGCAATGAAACCACATGACTTAATAGCATAAGGAAGTATACAATTTAAAATCCTCATCACAAATAAGTGGTAAGAGAAATGCTCTTTAGATATGACTAGAAATGAAGTTCTCTCTTCCTTGCACACCCTCTTTTAACCCAATCAAGTCTAGCCCACAGTCCCAGTAGGGGACTTTGTATCATACACCTACAGTTTTCTAGCCACACTGATTTTATCAGGGATTAACGGTGACACAAGCTGAAACAGTCATGCTCTCTTTCGGAAGAAGTTGGGGTAGAAAAACAGAAACTGAACCAGCATATTATATGGACTTTGGAGTTGTAAATTCATGAAGAACAGAGATAATGTCAGCTAGATTCTGGTGCAAGCTAAATTACTAACAAGCAAAAATTAGGGCCTTGCACACACAGCTTGTTATCTGTGAGAAGATGATAGATTGTACGACCCAGAGGGATAGTCGGAGAGGCTGGCTGCCAGCCAAATGTCTACCTCATGTAAGTCCTGGCTGTATTTCCTGCTTTTGGCTTCCATGAGAGTATTTTCTATGATATGATAAACATCCTTTTAATTTGAATCCTTTTGAGGGAGTTCTGTTTCTTGGAACCAAAGAACCTTTTACTATTTATTATTAGGGACTGGTTACTGTAAGGCTTTGACTTATGTTAATTATATAAGCTTATTGCAGTATTTAAAATATACTTTAAATGTGATAGAAAGTTGCTCGGATTTCGGATAGATATCCATTACTGAAATAAATACGGCATTTCTCTTCTCCTTCCTCATCTGAATAAAGTTGTTTAGTGACTACCCTGCTGCATTTGGGCACTGTAGAGCTACACTTGAGAGCATGTGGCATGTTCGCTATTTGGAGGAACTATCTAGACTTATAACTACTTTTATTTGCTTGTGAATGGGTGTTTTTCAGTATTTTGAAAATGTAATTTTCCTTCTACCTCCCTCCAATTTTATAAGAGTGACCAAAGTATATAAAGAACATTGATGAGATTAAAAAAAAAAGAGTGTATTGAAAACGTACTATTTGCAGGTTTCATGTTAAGGATAAAGAAGGCTACAAGTGTGACTGACAGGTGGTATCCACATTGTTCCTTCCCCTATAGAGGAACCTTTGAACTAAAATCTTTTAAAATGCAGTGTTCCATGTTTTGGATTGTGTCAGTATAGTTCAGACTTCTGATGGCCAAATAATGTGAATGAGTTAACGTTTGCTTATGGTGGAGGACCATTGTTAGAAAACTGATTGTCACCTTTTTCACAAAATGGGCAAGATTTATAGGGTAAATCTGGAAGTCACGGTAACATTATTTTATAAAAGATATAGTTTACTCTTTAAAAAACCAAACCCCCAAACAGAAAACATGTATGGGGGAGGGAGGAATTAACAGTGTTTTTAATCATCAGTCAGCCAACTATTGGATCAGTAAGTAATGTAGAAATATTTGTTTGCTTAATGAAGTGAGGGATAAATGTGTTTCAAGATAAAACAATGTTTATAGTAATTATCCTCACTTTTTATTTATACTATAAGGCAGTCCTAAATTTCAGTCCTAAATTTGTTGCTCAGGTTGCAAATCTGATAAGATGAATGGGCAGGGGAAGATATTTTGACATATTTTTGCAATTTCCACATATTTTTTTCTAATGAAAACTGTCCAGTCCTAAAGTTCAATATGAAAAAGATCTTAAAAACTTTCAAGCAGTTATTATAAAGTATAATGCTATATATAAAAGACATGGATCTGGCTAACAAATTGAAGGTTATTTTGAGAAGAATAGAAATAACTAAGGACTGGAGAGATGTATGCAAGATTAAAATAACTCAATTTTACCACTTAATTATAGCTAACTACATGACAAAGTAATCACTAAAATAACTTGAACATGTAAAAGTTAAGTTGATTATAATAGTATAAAATTGGACAAAAACTTAAATGTGATATTAGGTAAAAAGTGATAAATTTAACTGAAAATTTTTAACTGAAAATTTTCTTCCAGAAGTGAATTTATTCATGAAGAGTCAACTGTGTTAAAAAAAAACAAAACTTAAAACCTCATATAATTTTTCTTGAAGGTAGCCAGGAAACAAGTCCTAATAGCTGAGGTTTCTGTGAGCAGAATGAGGTCAAGGAAAGAGGAGTGTGTGTGGGTTCTCCCAGCACTATGGGGTGAAGATGACAGACCGTTAATAGGGATCTTTAATTTCTCATGTCTGCACTTGAGAGATTGCATTTCATTACTTTTAATATTTTTTCTTCTGTAGAGCATTTAAAGAAACATTCCAATTTCACAGCTCCCAGGGTACAGTAACAACTCCCTTCTCACTTTTGTCTGTTGACTCTTCTCACTTTCTCATATCCTTCCACTGAAACTCTTTTCTCCACCCCCCCATTTCCCTTCACATCTCCTGGCTGAGTCCTTCGTATACTGGAAATAATCCTTCGTGGAGTAGATGAGCCCTTCAAATCCCCTCCAGTTACTGAATGTGCAGTATAGGTATTTGTTTCATGGCATCCTCCCCATTAGTTTACTCCCCATAAATGTACCTAAATTATGAAAAACTTGTTAGAAACACATGGGAGGACTTCCAGTTTCCGGTTTTACATAGGAGAAGAGCCTAGAAGTCAACACTCCATCCTAACAGAAAGAAGCTGAAAAGACAAGAAGCTGAGAAAACTAACTCTTCTTGGATCCACAGGGAGAAGTCACAGGGCAAACCACTCCCCCCAGATTGGAGAGAGGCAAATACAGGGAGTCCCAGCTGTCCCCAGCAGAAGCCAGGGCCAGAGAAGGAAAACCTGGGCTGTCATTGACAAGTTGCAGCTGGATCAGTAAAGACAAGTCTAAATGTTAAAAACTCCAGGGGAACCCAGTCATGGGGGGGGAGGGGGGACGGGCACACTATTGAGAGATTTACCTCCAGGAGCTTGTCCAGGTGACCAGGTTATCGTAAATATTGGAGGGAAATCCCCTTGTACTTCTGGCCAGGGGAGGGAAGGGAACCACTGAAATATGCCAGAGCCCTCTGTTCTTAAGGAGAGCTATTCTCAGAAATTGGTTCACCTGAGCCTGACCAGCTCGGGAAGGAAAAATACTATTCAGGTCTAGGTTGCATTGTGAGAGAAGGGAAGAACCCAACTCCGGCCCTCTCTGGCCATCGACCACCTAAGAGGAGGGACAAAATAAACTTGTGAAGGTCACAGTCTAGAGAGGCACAGGCTCACCAAAACAGACCTACCTACTCATAGGACTACAGAATGCTTCCCCTTCACACACAACCTATTACCACATTGCTAACAGCCTATGTACTTAAACTGGTACATCATGTCCAACTATCACGAAACATAGACAAGGCATACTGAAAGGAAAAAAAAAACCCACAATTTGAGGGAATAGCGGGCAT